CCCACTGTACACATCACCTGTACCAGCCACACCCTGTCCCACTGTACTCTTCACCTGTACCAACCACACCTTGTCCCACTGTACACATCACCTGTACCAGCCATACTCTATCACGTTGTACAACATGTGTGTACCAGATACATCCTTTCTCCATGCACAGGATGAAGTACACCATCCCGCAGGATACAGTGCCCTTTGGGTGACCAGGTATCCTGTGCCATTATGATGAACACCCATGACAGATAAGTGATGTGTTCTCAGCCCTTGATCAATCCCTCTCTCTAAATGAGCCTGTCTGGGAATGGGTGGGGCAGTTGGCTGATGTCTGCTTTTTTGAATTCATAGGGAACAGTGAATTGGCTGTTCTCTGTGCTCTCCCATGGGTGGTCAGCTAAGGTGAAGACCTTTCACCCATAATTACTGGCCACCGATTACTTTAAATATTGTCATGATTGACAGGAGATTGACTTCGCTGATTGGACTCTCTCTCTCCTTGCTCAGGCTAAACGCCCTCGTCCTGTAACATACCTGTTTCTGTTTGATGTTAGCTACAATGCGGTGGAAACTGGTTACCTGGCAATTGTCTGCAAAACGCTGCTGGAGAACCTGGATAGGTGAGGCATTCTGTACCTGTTTCTGAAGGTGTTTTCCAAGTGAATGATGCAAGTGGGTCTAAATCTGGGTCCATGTCAAAATGTTCTTATGGTAAAATGTAAGATCTGTTAAATCAGAATATTTTTTCGGAAGGTGAGGAGGAGGGTAGTATTCTTGGGCAGCAAACCCCATAGAGCCAACAAGCACTCAAAACCATCAGTCTCAGATTTGCCTTCAGTGTGGGATCTTGCTGTGTACAGAATGCCTGCCATACTTACCAGCATAGCAGCAGGCACTGCACTTGCAGGGGAAGGGTTTTGGTGAGGACAATGAATACACCTCTGAGATCTCTATTCTCACACGATCCACTCAGTCAAGTCACTGGGGCCTCAGCTGTCTGTTCGAGCCAATCGACAGCGCCTCAGACAAAGCAGCATGCCTCGGTACTGGAGGCTGGCTGGGCTTGTGATATGCGCTCAGTAACGAACAATGACAGGCAGAATTTGACCCTCTTTGTCTGTTCAGTCTGATCCATGCAACTGTAAACTGTCATGTCCATCATAGAGCCACCACTCCACATTCTGATGGCCTAGTGGTATTATTGCTAGACTCTTAATCCAGAGACTAGGGGACCTAGGTTCAAGCCCCACTGTCACGATAGTGAATTTGAATTCAATTAGGTAGAGAAACATTTAGAATGGCGTGTCTAATGTTGACCATGAAAATGTTAGCAAATGTCATAAAAACCCATTTAGTTCACTATTATCCTTTAGGGAAGGAAACTGCCATCCATGTGACTCCAGACCCACAGCAATGTGGTTGACTCAATACCTTCTGGGCAATTAGAGATGGGCAATAAATGCTGGTCTAGCCAGTAACGCCATATGTCTTGTGAATGAGTTTTTAAAAATTCAACCTGTACCCATGTCACATCTCTGGAAAAGCTGGAAAAAACAGAATAAAACTCCCATTGTGGAGAAAATATCTGCAAAATTGGTCATTTGCAGTCATTCTAACCATATGGCTGTGACGAATACTGAAGCGAGCTCCATTTGTACCCTGTCCTAGGATAGAGAGAGTTTGTGGAAGGTGATTAAGTCGATGGTTAATTAAAGGAGTGTTTGATGGATTACCTGGGCCTTTCCTTGTTTTGTGCTTGTCTTGTCACATCGTCAGATTGGATCTTGTATCTCCCATCTGCCCTGCAGCAGTCGTGCTACACTTAAAACAGGTATCACAGGCAAATAGCCACAGGGACCAATCAGATTTCCAATCCTTTTATCCTGTCTCTGTTACCTAGGTTACCAGGTGATTCACGAACCCGGATTGGATTCATAACATTTGACAACAAAGTGAACTTCTACCAGTTGCATAGCAATCTGTCTCGACCACGCATGATGGTTTTGACTGAGATTCATGGTAAGTTGTAAGTGTAGTTGGAGAATCGGGAGGTAGGGGGAGAGTTTGTGTGTGGTGCCATAGTGGTAATGTCATTGTGCTGTTGATCCAGTGACCGAAGCAGGTGGAGAGCTGTTAGCCTAATGGTATTATTGCCTAGACTATTAATCCAACCCTGGGGACCTGGGTTGGAATCCCCCCATGGCAGATGGTGAAGTTTGAATTCAGTGTTTAAAAATCTGGAATTAAGAGTCTAATGATGACTATTACCAATTGTTGGAAAACCCATCTGGTTCATTAATGTCCGTTAGGGAAGGAAATCTGCCATTCCTTACTTGGTCTGGCTTACACGTGACTCCAGACCGCAGCAATGTGGTTGGCTTTTAACTGCTTTCTAGGTAATTGGGGTGAGCATAAACGTTGGCCTAGCCAGCATGCCCACATCCCATGAATGAATATATAAAAAAAGACACTGCTGAGTCAAATGTTCGAATCCCACCACAACAGATGGTGAAATTTAAATTCATTTCGTAAAATCTGGAGCTGACATGGTGACCATTTGAGGCAAATCATTTTCACTGAAAGGGTGGTGGGAATCTGGAACTAACTGCCTGTTAGGGTGGTAGAGGCAGAAACCCTCATTACATTAAAGAAGGGTTTAGATGTGCACTTGCGATACCAAGGCATACAGGGTTATGGGCCAAGTGCTGGAAATGGGATGAGAATAATTAGGTGGTTGTTTTTGACTGGTGCAGACCTGATGGGCCTTTTCCTGTTGTAGATTTCTGAGTCAATGACACCTATCGTCAATTGTTGTAAAAGTCCATCTGGTTCACTGATGTCCTTCAGGGAAAGAAATCCGCCATCCCTACCTGGACCGGCCTACATGTGACTCTAGACCCACAGCAATGGGATTGAATCTTACCCACCCCCTGAAACAGATAAGAAGCCGCTCAGGTCAAGGGCAGTTAGTAAGGGCAACTGGAAGGGCTCGTGTGGTGCAGTGGTAGTGTTCTTACCTCTGTGCTAGAAGGCCTGGGTTCAAATCCCACCTACTCCAGAGGTGTTTCAAGTTAATTGCAAGTATGTTCAAGAGCTAGTAGAGTTGGACAGCAATCACTGACCTTGCCCACATCCTGTGAAAGAGTATAAAGGACGACTGAGAAGTAGTTTGCATTATTGCATTAAGTCTTATTTCTTAATAATGGACCAGCTTGGCTAAATAGAACTTAGTCAGTTGTTAGTGTTAGGTGTTGCTCTCTAGACACTAAGTAACACTGAAAACCAGTGCTCCAATAGGCACGGGTCTTCTGCCTTTGTCCAACTCCATGTTGTCAAATTTGGAAGGTGCTGTCAAAGGAGCCTTGGTGAGCTGCTGTGCATATATAAATAGCACAAACTGCTGCTGCACTCAAATCAGGAGAAACTCATTGTGTTTCTGATGCTGGATACAGATTGGAATGATAATGCATTTGTAATGATTGCATGATGTTGGTCTTCTTTCAGATATCTTCACTCCAAACGAAGAAACGTTGTTGGTGAATCTTCAACAAAGCCGACAGGTAATGTGAACCCCCTTCCAATAAAACTGCAACAGTTTAGTAAAGTCAGAACTAGGCCACTTTCTCTCACTCAGTCAAGCAAAGGGCAACCTTATCTGTTGTGAAGGACACAGGTTATAAACCCCAGATGGGCTGTCTGTTTGTGAGCAACACTGGGACTGACCACATACTGACTGCAGGTAATGAACTGAAACAACATACTTTTCAATAAAGATTGATCATCAGCTGTTTCTTTACCTCTTTGTCTCAAATGCCCAAACAAATAAGGGAGAGATAGCGAATGTTCTGAGACCCACCAATAAATTCCCAGCAACCTTACCCTTATACACCCTTTGATAAATCATGGAAAGCCTTAGAGAGTTGCTCAAAAACTGCTATGACTCAGATCCTTCATGGCTGTATGTTTGAATGTGACTGTCCCTGTTATAATTTGCCCACTAATTCTCCACTTCTGTGCCACAGCTTGTTGTCGCGCTGCTTGAGGAATTCCCAGTTGCGTTCAGAGAGACTCAGAAGACATTGTGTGCATTTGGACCTGCACTGCAGGCTGCTCAGAAACTGCTGAAGTTCAGCGGTGGACGCGTGACTGTATTTCTCACCCAGTTACCCAATGAAGGCTGCGGGTCCTTGCAACCCCGGGAGGACCCTGGTGATAGTACCCTGGTAAGTCAAGGTTCATCTCAGTGATCTGTTACCTTAGAGGAGGAACTTTGCTGTTCAGAAAGAGATGGGGTCAAAAACTATATAGGATAAGTGTGATGGAATAGTCCCCACTTGCCTGGATGGATGCAGCTCCAACAACACTCAAGAAGCTTGACACCATCCAAGACAATGCAGCCTGCTTGATTGTTGCTACATCCACAAACATCCACTCCACTGGCAACACTCAGAAGCAGTGTGTACGAGATGCACTGCAGAAATTCAACAGAGATCCTTAGACAGCACCTTCCAAACTAATGTCTGCTTCCATCTAGAAGGACAAGGGCAGCAGATCCATGGGACCACCACCACCTGCAAGTTCCCTTCCAAGCCACTCACCATCTTGGCTTGGAAATGTATCACTGTTCTTTCACTGGATCAAAATCCTGGAACTCAGTCTCTAAGGGCATATTGGGTTTACCTACAGCACATGGACTGCAGTAGTTCAAGAAAGTAGCTCACCACCATCTTCTCAAGGGCAACTAGGACGGGGAATATGCTGGCCAAGCCAGTAATGTCCCCATCCCACAAGTGAATAAAATAAAAAAATTCCATACAATGTATACCCCTGGACTAGGCCAGCTGGTTTCATTGGTTTACGCACCAAATGAGCCACTTTCCATTCCTCTTTGACCCTATCAGCGTACTGGGGAATGGATAGTGGGTTCAAATGCCACTATGATAATTGGTGGGATTTAACGTGAATTGATAAAGTCTAGAATTGAAGGTTTGACATAAAATTATCCTTTATTGCTGTAAAAATACATCTGGTTATTATTATCCTACAGAGAAGGAAACCCACCTGGTCTGGCCTACATGTGATTCCAGGTCCACAGCAACTTGGTTGGTTCTTAACAGGCTGAGGAAGCCACTTAATTGAAGGGCGGTTAGGGATGGGCAATAAATCCCCATCGATGCCAACATTCCATGAATTAATAAAACAAATCATAGAGTCATAGTCATAGAGGCATACAGCACAGAAACAGACCCTTCGGCCCAACTAGTCCATGCCGAACATAATCCCAAACTAAACTAGTCCCACCTACCTGCTCCTGGTCCATATCCCCCAAACCTTTCCTATTCATGCACCTATCCAAATGTGTTTTGAATGTTGTCATTGTAACCGCATCCACCACTTCCTCAGGGAGTTCATTCCACACGCAAACCACCCTCTGTGTAAAAAAAAATGCCTCTTAAGTCTTCTTTAAGTCTCTCTCCTCTCACCTTAAAAATGTGCCCCTAGTCTTGAAATCCCCCGTTCTAGGGAAAAGACAACGACCATTAACTCCATCTGTACCTCTCATCATTTTATAAACTTCTATCAGGTTGCCTCTCAACCTCCTATTCCTTTCTCCCTCTGGCATTTGTCTAACTTTCCCTTCCGTGAGTCTATACTTTACCTCAACAACTATTTGTGACAGTTAATTCCACATTACTCTGTGGGTAGAGAGGTTGTTCCTGAATTCTTTACTTAGGTTATCAATATGTTAAATTTATGATTCCTAGTTTTGGTCTTTGTCACAAGTGAAAGTTTTTTTCACAATGTAAATACTGTCAAACTCTCCTATAATCTTAAAAATCTTGATTAAGTCAACCGTCAGCCTTTTCTTCCCTAGAGAATGGAACTCCAGCTTATCCAATCTATGTTGATATGTATTTTCTGTCAGCTCCAGTTCAATCCTTTTGAAGCCTTTTGCCTCCTCTCTGGGTGCTTCTGTGATGAAATTCTCATTTTTAAGAACTTGAAGAATTTTAGAAACATTGATTTATTTTTAATTCTGTGGAGATACCTGGACTTTTTTTTTGAAGGTCAATGAATAGACCCATTGGAACTTTTTTTTAAAACAAGGGTTCATTTGGAAAACACATGGTGCCATATAATTGATGGTGTTTTTTTGTTTGAATTTACTTCAGGGAAAAGACCTGACTTTCTTTACAAGTGGGAAATTGTTGAGGGTCCAGTGTGATACCTGGAGCCTTGCTGCTCTTGTGTGAAAAGCCTTTGGATATTTCCTGAATCATGGCAAAGGCAAAGTTATCCAGGAGCAATATGTTCAGTGACGTCTGTCTATGTGCGCCAGATTGTCAGACCAACAACCTTCTGAACACCTTATTGCTTTCAAGACCTAGGATTTATTGGTCAAAAGTTTTTTTTTCATAAAGTATGTCACTGCAGAAAAATATCCCTTTTTTCTTTGTTTTCCTTCGTTTGGTGGATGTATGTATGTTTAATAGTAATTTGGGATATCCGGAGGGATAAATATTCATGTCTTCAAATTACAAACCGTTGTTAATCATCTTTAAATAAGTTTTGTTTTATAATGAACCAAACTTTTGTATTTATTAAGAAGTCTGGCCAATTTTTTTTTGTTCATCTGTGTGATGTGGATGTTGCTGTTGGGCCAGTATCTATTGCCTGTCCCTCGTTGCCCTTGAGAAGGTTGTGTTGAGCTGCAATCCACCTGCTGTGGGTTGACCAACTATGCCATTGAGGATGGAATTCCAGGATTTTGACCCAGCAACAGTGAAAGAACGGCAATATATTTCCAAGTTGGGATGGTGAGTGGCTTGGAGGAGAACTTGAAGGTGGTGGTGTTCCCATATATCTGCTGCCCTTGTCCTTTTAGATGGAGGTGGTCATGGGTTTGGAAGGTGCTGTCTGAGGATCTTTGAATTTTTGCTGTGCATCTTGTACATAGTACACACTGCTGCTACTGAGTATCGGTGGTGGCTGGAGTGGATGCCTATGGATGAAGTACCAATCAAGAGGGCTGCTTTGTCATGGATGGTCTCAAGCTTCTTTAGTGTGGCTCTTTTTATTCTGAGTCTGATGGAAAGAAAGCATATTTACCATATTGTGAACCATATAAAACAATTAAATTAATGTTGTGACCCATGGTCTAGTGAGAATAGAGAAGGACAGTGCACACATCCCATCTTCATCCAAATGCTTCTATATCTTTCTTGTGATACAGAGGTCAGAGTTGTCCACTGTGTGGTCTAATCAATGTAATAACCCTTCAGCGCTTGTTTTGCCCTATAAACCTGTTCACTGCTTTTATTGTCAGTTGTGAAACATTAATGTTGTTTCCTTTCCTACAGTGAACCTTCCAACCCTTGTTATTCCTAACCTGGAGATGCCTCCTCTTGCAAATTTTCAAAATCTGAATGTTCAGTTGAGGTTGGTTGGCTCGCTGAGCTGGTTTGTTGTTCCGCAGACATTTTGTTACCGTGCTTGGTAACATCTCAGTGCAGCCTCTGATGAAGCGTCGGTGTGTTTTCCCGTCTGGCTTTTAAACTCTGGGGTCCGTTGCGATGGATTGCCTCACTTCCGGGTTTCCGCTGTAGTGGAATGTATATGGGGTTGAGTTCAATGTGTTTATTAATAGCCTGCTTCGTGGGAGTGCCATGCTTCCAGGAATTCTCGTGCTTGCCTCTGCCTAGCCTGTCCCAGGATCTTGGTGTTGTCCCAGTCGAAGTCGTGGTTCTTTGTCCATGTGGATTGAGATTTGTGAGTATTGGTCGTGTCTTTTTGTAGCCAGTTGGTGTTCATGTACTCTTGTTGTTAGTTTCCTTCCTGTTTGTCTGATGTAGTGTTTCTTGCAGTCTCTGCAGGGGATGTTGTAGATGACATTGGTCCTGTCCATGGCGGGGAGTGGGTCTTTAGTTTGGGTGAGCACTTGTCGTAGGGTTGATGTGGGCTTGTGTGCCACTCTGATGCCCAGCGGTCGTAGAAGTCTTGTGGTGAGTTCTGACGTGTTCCTGCTGTAGGGTAGTGTGATGAGTGTGTTGGGGCGTGTAGAATCTTTCTGATGCTGTTCCTGTAGGCATCTCCTAACCCAGTTCTTTGGATATCCATTATCCTTGAACACTTGGAAGAGGTATTCCTCCTCCTCTTGGCGTAGTTCCATGTTGCTGCGGTGTGTTGTTGCCCTTTTAAATGGTGTTCGCACACAGCTTCGTTTGTGTGTGCTGGGATGGTTACTATTGAAGTTCAATACCTGGTCTGTGTGTGTGGCTTTTCAGAGTACTTTCATTTGCAGTTCCCCATTTGTCTTGCACTCTACCATGACGTCCAGGAATGGGAGTTGTTTGTTGCACACAAGCCCACATCAACCCTATGACAAGTGCTCACCCGAACTAATGACCCACTCCCCGCCATGGACAGGACCAATGTCATCTACAAGATCCCCTGCAGAGACTGCGAGAAACACTACATCGGACAAACAGGAAGGAAACTAACAACAAGAGTACATGAACACCAACTGGCTACAAAAAGACATGACCAATACTCACTCATCTCAATCCACGTGGACAAAGAGAACCACGACTTCGACTGGGACAACACCAAGATCCTGGGACAGGCTAGGCAGAGACAAGCACGAGAATTCCTGGAAGCCTGGCACTCCACGAAGCAGGCTATTAATAAACACATTGAACTCGACCCCATATACATTCCACTACGGAGGAAACCCGGAAGTGAGGCAATCCATCTCAACGGACCCCAGAGTTTAAAAGCCAGACGGGAAAACACACCGACGCTTCATCAGAGGCTGCACTGAGGATGTTACCAAGCACGGTAATGAAACGTCAGCAGAACAACAAACCAGCTCGGCGAGCCAACCTACCTCAACACCCACAACCCGAACTACAAATCTACTCCAAAACCTCAGAATGTTCAGTATTAATTGAAAAACACAGTTGGTCCAGAAGAGATGTTGGTGGGGCTCGGATCACAAAGTGGTGGCCTTGATTGTCTTCATTTCTCTCTCCATAAGGGAGCTAAGCACCTTGGTCCAGCTACCAATTTCTATAAGGTGCTGGCAATGGAGTTCTGTGGCCAGCAGATAGGAGTGGACTTATTCTTGCTGAATCAGCAACACATTGACCTTGCTTCCATAGGTGAGTGTTTGAGGTAACTGTAACTTCAAGAACAAGTACCACAGCAACTTGTATCCATTTCACATCAAACATAATAGAATAGCCCTAGGTGCTTTTTAAGTCACTCTAGTGAACGCATTGGGTTACTTCGTGAAAGCACTTTATTGGAATAAAAAGGATATTTGGCCCATCATGTCTGTGCTGGCTCTTTGGTATCCAGTAAGTTTTTATTTAAAAATCATTCATTGGGCATCGCTGACTGGTCCAGCATTTATAGCCTATCCCTAGTTGCCCTTGAGAAGGCAGAGGTAAGCTACCTTTCTGAACTGCAGTAGTCCATTTCAGGTAAGTAGGCTCAAAATGCTGTTTGGAGGGAGTTCCAGGATTTTGATGCAGAAACGCTGAAGGAGCAATCCCTGTTCTTTCTTCAAAGCCCTACATATTTTTCCACTTGAAGTACCAACTATTTGCTATTGAATCTGCTTTTACCAGTCTCTTAGACAGAATCAGAAGATGATGTGGTAGCTTATTTATCATTTGGTTCAGTTCAGAAAAATCCATTTAGTCTTAATAACTTGAGCATATTAAAGGCATTAAAGCAATGCTAGTGGTTGACTATGTATTTAGAATGTTGCTTTTGCTCACGGCAGTGATTTGGTTACATTGCAAAATGCTGTTGTGCACAGTTTCAGAGATTTGTCTCCCTATCTGCTAAGAAAGAAAGAATGATTTGTATTTATACACAGATTTTCATGACCTCAGGATGTTTCAAAGTGTTAATTAAGTATTCTTGAAGTATATGTCACTGCTGTAAATGTTGAAAATTTGGCAGTTAATAAGAACATCACAATCTCCTAGCAACAGCAATGGGAAAAAATGTTGAGTACTGTCACCAAATTTGGAGGTGTGCACTCTCTGTCTTGAGTCCACCTACTCTATTGGAGTCATAGAGGGCTACAGCACAGTGTCTGTGCTGGTCAAAAACAACCACTTGACTATTCTTATCCCGTTTTCCAGCACTTGGGCTGTTGCCTTATGTGACTTGGCAGTGGAAGTGCACATCTAACTAGTCATACAATTATAGTCAGACAGTCGGAAACAGACCCTTCATTCCAGCTCGACCACACAAGAATTTCTGCTTTACTATTCACAACGTAAAGTTAAATTCTTTAACAGATTATTGATATGGCCAGTTTTATACTTGATTCATGTTAGATTTAGAACAAATAGATTTATTTTCATAAATAACAAAAAATTATGAAAATAGAACTTACTTGGCTCAGATGTAATGCTGATTAACAGTTTGAAATATGACTGTACAAATGTTTACCCTTCTAAATGTTTACCCAAGACAAACACACACATCAATTAAAAGAAAGAACTTTCTCACAGAGATTAATTTTGAATCTAGAAAAGATAACTTTGGCCAATAGTTGTTCGTTCTTGACAGAAAAAGCCATAATGGTGTGAAATGGTTAAGATGTCTTTCCTAGCACATATAGCCTTGTGTCATTAAACACATGATGTGGAGGTGCTGGTGTTGGACTGGGGTGGGCAAAGTCAGAAGTCACATGACAAGGGGTTTATTTGAAATCACAAGCTTTCAGAGCACTGCTCCTTCGTCAGGTGAAGCAACTTCACCTGATAAAAGAGCAACGCTCTGAAAACTTGTGATTTCAAATAAACCTGTTGGAGTATAACCTGGTCTCATATGACTTCTGACTTTGTTATTAAACAGAGACAGTTGTCATTGAGAACTTTAAGGACAGTTTGTCCAGGAATTGTCAAGAACTTAGAGACTTTTTCCAGAGAACAACTGCATCAGTTTTTCAAATCTTCACAGGGCTGCTTAGTTTGGTTTTATTCAAAAAGGCAGGGGATGTGCTGTGTGTCTTTGCAGTCTCAGCAGAATTTGCACTATATGTACTCCAAACAACATCCAAAACAATGCCATAAACCCAGACATGTTGTTTCCGGTAAATAAGTCCAAGAAATTGCAGGGAGGTGATGATATAATGGTAATGTTACTGGACTAGTAACCTAGATCCTCAGGCTAAAGTCGTGGGACTGTAAGTTTGAATCACACCATAGAATATAGTGAAATTTGAATTCAATAAAGTAGAAATTAAAAGTTACTCTAATAATGAGTGTGTAACCATATCAATTTTGTAAAAATGTGTTCGGTTCACTAATATCTTTCAGGGAAGGAAATCTGGCCTACATGTGACTGCAGACCCACAGCAATGTGATCAGCTCTTAACTGCCCTGTGAAATGCCCTTGAAAACTAATCAGTTCAAGGACAAGTAGAATGGGCATCAAGTATCAGCTTTTCCAGTGATGCCAACATCCCACTTATAAAAATAAAAACAAAGAGCTTAAAACATGTGACTTCCAAGAAATAAAGTCCCAGTGTTCTTTAGGTGACCCCTTTAACAATGGGACTACACTCCCTGATACCCAGGATGTCGCTAGCAGTGACATTTCTCAAATATATTTAAGCAAAGAGTGATGAATACCTAACAACAAATAGTTAAAAGTCTAGCAATTAAGAGAAAAGATGTTAAACAATTCTTTAAAAAATTTTAAAATGGGCCTTATATTACATGTGCAAGGTGAGCAGGTGCACTGAGCAATGATGATCAGATCATTGATGTCAGAGACATATCGTTTTTTTTTAAAACCAAAGCCAATCCCAGGGATAGGAGGAACTGCAGATGCTGGAGAATCTGAGATAACAAGGTGTAGCGCTGGATGAACACAGCAGGCCAAGCAGCATCAGAGGAGCAGGAAAGCTGACGTTTCGGGCCTAGACCCTTCTTCAGAAAATTTTATCTCTTCTATTCCAAATGAACCACTCTCTACAATCCCTTAAGCAAGAGTTCTAAAAAATATCCGTCTGTTTTAGTGATTGGGTGAAAGATAAATATTGGTTTGGACATAAAGTCTAATAAGACTTCTGGCCTTCACAAATAATGCAGCAGGATCTTTGCTATTCAGTTGAGATGGTAGATGGGGATGGTCATAGAGTTACACTGCATGGAAACAGACTCTTTGGTCCAACTTGTCTGCACTGACCATTCACCCCAATCTGACCTAGTCCCATTTGGTCCATATCCCTCTAAACCCTGTTCAGTTCTAAGGAAACATCAATGGCCCTGAAACATTAACTCTGATTTCTCTCCACGGATGCTGCCAGACCTGCTGAGCTTTTCCAGCAATTTCTGTTTTTGTTCGCTCAAAACCCTATTCATGTACCCATCCAAAGAACAAAGTACAATACAGCACAGGAATAGGCTCTTCGGCCCTCCAAGCCTGCACCGACACAGTTTGCCCTTCCATACTAAAACTGTCTTCACTTACAGGATCCATATCCCTCTATTCCCTTCCTATTCATGTATTCATCCAGGTGGTTCTGCTATTGTATCTGCTTCCACCATCCCCTTTGGCAGCACGTTCCAGGCTCTCGCCATCCTGTGTGTGAAAAACATGCCTCGCATATTTCTTTTAAACTTCTCCCCCCACCGCACCTTGAACCTGTGTTCCCTAGTAATTGACCCCTCCACCCTGGGAAAAAGGCTCATATTTCCCACTCTATCCATGCTTTTCACAATCTTATAAACTTTTATCAGGTCACCTCTCAGCCTTCTGCGTTCCAGTGAAAGCGAACAGAGGTCTATCCAATCTTTTTTCATAGTTAAAGTCCCCCATATCAGGCAGTATCCTGGTAAACCTTTTCTGTCCCCTCTCCAAAGCATCCACAGCCTTCTCGTAGTGCGGTGACTAGAACAGTACGCAATGTTCTGAGTGTGCCTAACTAAAGTTCTATAAATCTGCTGCATAACTTGCCTATCCTTATACTCATTGCCCCTTCTAATGAAGGAAGCATGCTGTTATACTTTACCTACCTGCACTGCCACCTTCAGTGATCTGTGGACCCGCACACCCAGATCCCTCTGCATATCAATACTCCTAAGGGTTCTGCTATTCACTATATAATTTATACCTGTACTTGACCTTCCAAAATGCATCACTTCACATTTGTCTGGATTAAACTCCATCTGCTGTTTTTCTACCCACGCCTCCAACTGATCTATATCCTCTTGTATCCAGATGCCTTTTAAATATTGTATCAGCCTCCACCACCTGCTCTGACAGCTCGTTCCATACATGCACCACCCTCTGCATGGAAAAGTTACCCCTCAGGTCCCTTTTAAATCTTTCTCCTTTCACTTTAAACCTATGACCTCTAGTTTTGGACTCCCCAGCGCTCAGAAAATGTCCTTGGCTGTTCACCCTATCCATGCCCTTCATGATTTTATGAACCTCTTTCATCCTTTTGGGATTATATGGGAAAACCTGATGGACCAGCTTGTTCTTCTATCGCTTGTTAGTTTTGTACATTCCACTGGGATGAGATGGGTGAGAAGGTGAAAAACGTTGTCCAAATTTGGAGATACAGGGCAGATGAGTTAATTAAATAAACAAGGTTAGTCAAGAGGTTGCTAACTTTCTGGCTGTTTTTATTTTATTTATTCATGGGATGTGGGTGTTGCTGGCTAAGCCAGCATTTATTGCCCAACACTAATTGTCCCGAGGGCAGTTAAGTGTCAACCACGTTGCTGTGGGTCTGGAGTTACATGTAGGCCAGACCATGTAAGCATGGCAGATTTCATTTCCTAAAGGACATTAGTGAACCAGATGGATTTTTCCAACAATTGAGAATGGTTTCATGCTCATTATTAGACCCTTAGTCCAAATTTTTTTATTGAATTCAAATTTTGCTATCTGCCATGGTGAGATTTGAATACAATTCCCTAGAATATTATCTGGGCCAATGGATTAATAGCAGGCTGATGTTGTCAAAGTGCATGTCAATTGACTATGTGTGTGTGTGTATATGTGTGCGTGTGTGTCTGTCTGTCTGCCTGTCTTGGGTTATTGAGAAAAGTATTTTTTATCCTTTTCAATTTCAAACTGTGTACTTTCTGCAGTTTGCCTTCCCAGGTACACTTGTGGCTATGTGTATTATTACCCAGCATTCCATCATATCCACAGCTCAGCTCTGGTTGAGAAGCTCCGGGAAGAATTCCGAAATCACCTGACCCGCTCCATTGGATATGACGGTCTGCTGAGGATCCGATACACACAGGGTGAGAGTCCCATGCACACGGGGAGACTGAGGGTCCGACAAATACGGAGAGAGAGTGACGGTCTGCTCCACGTGGGGAGAGCGAGGGTCCTATACACACGGCGGGGGAGAGAACTAGGGTCCGATACACACGGTGGGGAGAGAACTAGGGTCCGATACACACGTTGGGGAGAGAACGAGGGTCCGATACACACGGTGGGAGAGAGAGAGGGTCCGATACACACAGTGGGAGAGAGGGTCCCATACACACGGTGGGTGGAGAGAGCGAGGGTCCCATACACACGGGGGGAGAGAGAGCGAGGGTCCCATACACACGGTGGGGGGAGAGAGCGAGGGTCCCATACACATGCCGGGAGAGCAGAAGAGTGATCCTGATCGATGGGAATAGACATTGAGTCAACATATGACAGGCATTCAACCCATCACATCTATGCTGTCTCTCTCTGTTGAGCAATCCAGTCAGTCCCCAACACCGAACTTCAGTCTCAAAAGGCCCAGGCAGCTAGCACATGAGGAAACCATCCATCCTGGCTGCCTGCCCTCTCTTCCTAGTCCATAGACTATAAGATTTGGGAGCAGAATTAGGCCATTCAGCCCATGAGGACTGCTCTGCCATTCGATCATTGCTGATGTGTTTCTTAACTCCATTCTCCTGCCATTTCCATGTAATCTTAGATAGGTTCTTCATTAGTAAGGGGATCAATCTCTGTCTTAAAGGCACTCAATGACTTGGCCTCCACAGCCCTCTCAGGGAACAAGTTCCTCAGATTGACCCCCCTCTGGCTGAAGAAGTTCCTCCTCGTCTCAGTTCTAAAAGATTGTCCCTTCATTCTGAGGCTGTGCCCTTGGTCCTTGTCTCACCCACCTGCAGAAACATCTTAACACGTCCATGCTATCCAAGTCTCTCAGTATTCTGTAAGTTTCAACCAGATCCCCCTCATCCTTTTAAACTCAATTGAGTACAGACCCAGGATCCTCAACTTCTCCTCATATGACGAGAGCAAAATCAGAAACTGCTGCTAAAACTCAGCAGGTCTGGCAGCATCTGTAGAGAGAAAGCAGAATTAGCATTTCTTGTCCAGTGACCCTTCTCCAGAACGGTCATATGACAAGCCCTTCATCGCTGGGATCATTCTTGTAAACCTCTTTTGGACTCCCTGCAATGCCAGCACATCCTTCCTTCGATACAGGACCAAAAACAGTATTCTAAATACAAATTCCATGTCCATGTATGTGTCTGGGTGTCCTTGGAGAGGAGACCATACCAGGACACAACAGACTGCCCAAAATGTTTGACATGGCTTTGTTTCCTGCAATACATTTAAAAATCCAAATTGATGCTTTCTCACATGGTTCTCTCTTAAAACCTCTGTTCTCTTGGTTTTAATTGGTGCTACAGTCCCTTGTATAGACCAATCAAAGATCAAAGAATATCACTCATCACGGCAACCATTGTGTCAAATTTCTGTCTTGATTTTTGTTTAGGCCTCATGCTGGATGCTTTCTACGGGAACTCATTCCTACAGACAACACAGATGCTGTCCCTACCCTATGTCCGTCCCCAGGCCGAGTTTGCCTTTCAGATGATGATTGATGGGGCTGTGACTGAGAGCTTGCTCGTGGTCTTCCAGTCCTCTCTCCTCTACACTTCATGTCAAGGTAGGATGGACCTCGCTCAGCTCTTCCACAAGTTCAGCGCCAACTTTTGCAGGGCAGCCTTTGATGGGACAAGGCAGCCTACCGAGGGAGGGAGCGACCCAGTGTGAGCTACCTGCTCAGCCTCCCTCCCCATAGAGGACCCAAGCCATCGCAGGGAGGTGATGGTGACTTGGCTGAGGTTGTGACCCTTTTTAAACAGCGCTACAGGGAGGCAATACCAAGTGGTATTATTGCTAGACTATTAATTCAGAGACCCTGTTAATGTTCTGGGGGACCCAGATTCGAACTCTGCTATGGAAGATGGTGGAATTTGAATTCATGAAAAAAAAAAATCTGGAATTAGGAGTCTAATGGTGACTATGGTGTCAGAAAAACCCATCTGGGTCACTAATGTCCTTTAGGGAAGGAAACTGCAGTCCTTACCTGGTCTGGCTTACACATGACTCTAGACCTATAGCGATGTGGTTGACACTTAATTGCCCTCGGGGCAATTAGGGGTAGACAATAAATGCCAGCCTGGCCAGTGATGCCCACATTCTGTAAATGAATAAAAACAGAAGCCCATGCCTCTATTCCCAGCCCTGCTGTTCTTGTTTTAAATTGGGGAAGATGATTTCTTTGCTGATCAGTCGGGCCTGTGGAAGACTGGCAGAATGCAACATTCTTCTCCTTTTTGTCGCCTGAAGTTTCTTTTTCTTTCACAGGGTGAGGCCTGCAATTGTGGCCCATTCCTAACCGCCCCTCACCTGAGAGACTTGCTGAATTAACTCCACAGAAGCTGGTATCCCATCAACAAGCCACCCTTTATTTACACATGGAAGGTGCTTGACACCAGTCCAACTCCCACAGAGCCAGCTGTCAGAGCGTCAGCATCTCTGAGATTCTTCTCTTTATCTGTCAGCCAGGGCTCCCTGATTGGACCAGATTAACAGCTCCAATAAGGGAACTCATTCTATGTGGTTCTCTGTAGCCCAAGTAGCTCGCTTGGAGTGCCTGGTACACACATTTTTCTCTTCTAAGGCCTATGTCTGTCTGGGAGAATCAACTAAGGACTATATTCAAGTTCTCATAAGTACTCCTTATTGGTCTTCTCTGTTATTAGCACATCATCTTGATAAATGGTGACCTCGGATAGATCTTGCAAAATTTCCCCCATCGTCTGCTAAAAAATTACACAGGCTGACAATACCCCAAGTGGCAGTCTCATATTTTGGCACAAACCCATTTGGGTACTTATCTGGCTGCAAAATACGGTTTACCATATGTTTAAAATCCTCACAAAGGCAAACTGACCCGTCAGGCTTCAAAATTGGTACGACTGGTGCTGCCTGTTCCACAAGCTGATGATTTCTTCGCTTTCTAGCCTTCTAATTTCTGCCTCTGCTGTTGCCTGTGAGGCGAATAGCACTGTGAGGGCCTTGCGGAATCGTGGAATTGCTTCCTGGCCAACGTGCAAGGTGGCTTTGGCTCCTTTGATAGTCCGTAGACCTTCCTGAAAGACTTCTGAGTATTTAATCAGGACTTCAGTCGGGCAGCCATTTTCTAATCGAAAAATATTGAGCCAATCCAGGTGAATCTCTTTCGACCAATTTTGCTGCATCAAGCTTGGGCCTGCGCTTTTGACTGCAATCACTGCTAACTGAACCAGCTGCCTCTCATAAGAGACCAGAACCGAAGTTGTACCCTCAATCTATAAAGTTTCCCCAGTATAGGTTCTGTGTCCAGCCGAGGTCTTGCACAAATTCAAGGGTTGGAAGCTAGACTGAAATTTGTTAAAGACTGCCATCACTGAAATGACCATGCCAGTATCGACCTCCATTAAATCTGGATGACCATTTAACGAGACGTTTGTTTTGATTAGTTTTGATTTTTGATGTTACTAAGCAATTTAACTGTTCCAAACCAGATGTAGGGTGTGCATGCCTCTGTATACCAGCTTATAAGTTCTCTTACTCAATTTAGATCCAGTAGGATGCCTTTGCTGTTTTGAGTCCACATATTGATAGCAACTACAGTGGCTTGCTGGCCTGGATCCTGAAGAAAATTCTAACTGTTTGACTGAGGCGTGGCTTTGTTTTGAGATTTTGCTGTGGGTTGACCTACAGTCCCTCCATTCAGGATATGTCCTGAGTGTGGCTAATCAATTGCCTTCATTCAAGTCGCCCAAGCTCAGTCGGAGGGTGGCAAGGGTGTCCACTTCCATTGGAATGCACTGCAACTCATGGGCTCCACTTGCCACGTTTTCCAATGACAAAGCCGGTTGTAGTGCCTGTTTGAAGTCCAGTTGGGCTTCAGCTAGTAGTTGCTTTTGCATGGTTACATCATTAATTCCACCTACCAGCCAGTCTCTCAGCATCTCATTAAGGGTTACTCAAAGTCACAAGCCTCTGCCAGTCATCTTAACCTGGTCCAAAATTCCAATATGGATTACCCCGGTTCTTGAATTGCCGAATAAAATTGATAACGTCTCAGAATTAGAGGAGCCTTGGAGTTGTAATATTCCTTAATTAAATCCATCAACCCTTGAAAGGTTTAGGATCTGGTGCCTCAGGGAAAGTTAGGCTCCATATAACCCAAAAAGCTTTGTGTCCACAAGTTGCATTTCATCTGTCCCAATGTAATTTACCCAGAAAAAAAAATGCATTCTTTCCACATACTGGGCCCAGTCTCCTACAGGAGGTCGAATGAGTCAAGCTTCCCAAATAATGGCATGATGCCAGAAATGCTTACCCCAATGCAAAGATGACTGTTGTAAGTTGGTTTCTTCAGAAACGTGCTTTACTCTTGTTGTCACTGAAATAACTCCGCAGAGGCCAGTATCCCATCACCAAGTCACCGTTTATTTACACGTGGAAAGTCTTTGACACTGATCCAGCTTCCTCCAAGCCCACTGTCAGAGTGAACAGGATATCTGACACTCCTCATCTGTCAGCCAGGGCTCCATGATTGGATCAGATTAACAGCCCCAATCAGGGAACTCATATTCTATGAGGTCCACCTGGATGTCCTCATTACAACACTACACTTGCTAGTCCATCTCAGAAGTTAGAAAAGAGTCAACTGTATTGCTGTGGGTCTGGAGTTGCATACAGGCCAGACTGGGTAAGGGTAGAAGATTATCTTTGAAGACAACCAATGAAAGTTCCACGGTCGTCATCACTGAGATTTTCATTTTCAATTCTGGATTTGTTAACTGAATTTGAACTCCACTAGCTTGGGGTGGTATTTGGACCTATTGGACCTATTGGTGGTATTGGGTCTCTGGATTAATAGTTCAGTGACACTATCACTGCACTACCCTCTTTCCCCTATGCTCCCAGATCTCCCTAAGCAGTCAGATGAGCAGGTCAGAAAAGCTGCAAATCTCCCACCCAGGCCGAAGGGACGTGCTGTTGGATACCGTGAAGTGGGCTTTGCCTCTTTCATAGATGGAACTCACAAAGGGCAGCCATTCAGCCCCTCCTGACTGTACCACTCTTGTCAATTAGTCCCAATTTTCTGGTCTTTCCACAGCCTTGCAAGCATTTCACTGCAGGTATGCATCCAGTTAACACCTGAAAGTCACTATTGAATCTAGCACCCTCTCAAGCAGCGCATTCCAAATTGTAAAAGTGCATCCTCAAGCCACTTCTTTTTAAAACCTTAAGGAATATGAACTGGAGCAAGCTATTTGGTCCCTTGAGCCTGGTCTCCCATTCAAAAGAATCATGGCTGATCTGGCATTTCTCGTATTTATTTTCCTGCCCTTTCTCCATAAACCTTGACCTCCTAACTGATCAGGAATCCATCAATATCCACCTTAAATATACGCAAAGATTCTGCTCTCACAGGTCTTTGTTGCAAGGAGTTCCGAAGCGCCTCAACTCTCTGAGAGAAGAAATTCCTCCTCATCTTAGTCTTAAATTGGCACCCATAATACCTCTGGGCTCTCACCTTCCCCAGGTGGCTGCCCTTGTCCTTCTAGATGGTAATGGTCATGGATTTGAAAGGTGATATATGGGTTAAAAGGGTTAAATTATGAGGCCAAGTCACATAGTCTCAGGTTGTATTTTCTTGAGTATCTGAAGTGTTTTTGTTTATTGCTATGAGGTGTATGGTATAAATAAATTATTTCCTTTGATGTTAGAACACACTTCTTCACGCAAAGGATAGTGGAAATCTGGAACCACTTTCCCTCAATACAAGTTGGGAAGTTGGGGAAGGGGAGGTCAATTGAAAATGATTTGTCAGGTGAGGGTGTCAATGGTGATGGAACCGAGTCCTAGACTCTTCAATGATGATTTCACATCCTCTAGCCACTGATCCTTCAGTCACTATTTTGAGCACCTCAAGTAAATCTTCCTTTAACCTTCTCTATTTTAAGGAGAACAACCCCAGCTGCTCTGCACTTTTGGTATTTCTCTGTCACAGGCATGAGCACCCCACCCCCAACCCAACTCCTTCTCCCTGCTCCCTACCCCAACCTAACTCCATTCTTTTGATGAGGGGTTGGTGAAGCTCAGTCGATTGTGGATGATCTTGCGAGTCTGGTTGTTTTTCAGGTGAACGACGGGTTCGAATCTACACCTACTGCTTGCCAGTTGTCAGCTCCCTCAGTGAAGTTTATGCAGGAGCCAATATGGCTACTATCACGGGAATTCTTTCAAAAATGGGTAAGATATCATATCAACAGTGACGAGGTAAGAAGTAACACAAAGAGGGATACGAAAATGTAATCAAATGGATACATCACACATACAGCGTGGGATTTAAACCTTTAGCCTCCCCTCTGTATTTGGAATGATTTCCCCAAGGTCATGTTCTGAAGTCATAGGGTGGGCTACTTAGGGCTGAGATGAGGAGAAATGTCTTCACCCAGAGAGTGGCGAGCCTACACAATTCTCTGATACAGAAACCTGTTGAAGCCAAAACATTGAATGTTTTTAAGGAGTTAGATATAGTTCTTAGATTAAAGGGATCAAAGGTTACAGGGAGAAAAAAGGACCAGGGTCCCAAGTTGGATGATCAGGTTTTGAGCGGGAAGCAGGTTTGAAGGGCTGAATGCCTACTCCTGCACCTATTTTCTCTGTTTCTTTGTTTCCCATCTTCATTTCCAGTGGTTGAGCCATTGGATTGGCCCATGTCAATGGGTGAAGCATTGTAGTGGTTTGTCATTGCTGCCTGTAGAATGGCTGACCAGGAGATTCTCCTGCTTACAGTTATATGGGAAGGATGGCAATTGACCTGTTTTGTCACATTATACCCGCACTTTCTGTGACCAGAAACTCCTGGAGTGGGATTGAAACCAGAATATTTGTTATTTACTCATGGGACATGGGCATCACTGGCTGGGCCAGCATTTATAGCCCAACCCTGATTACCCAGAGGGAAGTTAAGAGCCAACCACATTGTTGTGGGTCTGGAGTAGGCCAGACCAGATAAGGATAGCAGATTTCCTTCTTTAAAGGGCATTAGTGAAGCAAATGGGTTTTTCCAGATAATTGGCAACAGTTTAATGGCTGTCATTAGACTCTTAATTTCAATTTAAGAAAAAATTGAATTCAAATTCCACCATCTGCTATGGCAGGATTTGAACCCAGACCTCTGGAGTCTAGCAACAAAACCACTGGGCTGCCACCTTCCCCAGTTGGCTGCCCTTGTCCTTCTAGATGGTATTGGTCATGAATTTGAAAGGTGATATTTGGGTTAAAAGGTTTAAATTATGAGGCCAAGTCACATAATCTCAGGTTGTATTCTCTTGAGTAACTGAAGTGTTTTTGTTTATTGCTATGAGATGTTTGGTATAAATAACTATTTCCTCTGATGTTAGAAAACACTTTTTCACACAAAGGATAGTGGAAATCTGGAACCGTTTTCTCTAAATACAAGTTGGGAAGTTGGGGAAGAGGAGGTCAATTGAAAATGATTTGTCAGATGAGGGTGTCAATGGTGACGGAACTGAGCCATGGAAAATGGAGTAAAGATACAAATCTGCCATAATCTAACTGAATAGTGAGTAGGTTCAAGGAGCTGAGTAGACGCCTCCTTTTCTTTTGTAATGAAACTTCTGGCAGCAGATGGCAATATTGAGAAAGGACACCAAGCAGGGGAGCTCGAGAGGGTGTGCAGGCACTTTCACTAGCAGGTGAGGGAGGCTGGCTGGAATGGTTGAATTGGGCTAGTGGGAGGTGATGGCCTAGTGGTATTATTGCTCGACTAATACAGAGATCCAGACAATCAGTATCTTTGGGGGAAGGAGTGCTCGTGGGAAGAAGAGAGGAGAGAGACAAAAGATACCTGAAACCACAGGCTTCAGTTCATGTAAATACTGTGAACACATCCTTCATTTAACTTTAATTTCCCTCTATGCTTACAATAAATTGATGCCAATGAAATAAACAATCGCTGCTTCATGAACTTTGGGCTATCCGTGTGTTCAAATCTCATGTTACATTATCATCCTCGATGAAATGGAGCTGCAGACAGGATAACGTTAACGCTAAACCTAACTCAAACCCTGACCCTAACGCAGTTCAATTCATGCTTATCATTTGCTGTTTGAATGTTTTGGGTCTGGTGGTTTGAAAAGAACTGCTTTCACAATCATTGTCTCATTGGCAAATATATCCTAAATTGGGAACCCTAAAATCCATTGGTTTTGACAGCTTGAATTATTTGGGAATGTAGAGCAAACTGCTAGAAGTGGTGTGTGAAGCTTGATCCTCTTACGTGGCTCAGGACAGTGAAATCTTGGACCCTGAAATAGTTGACGAGTGGCGATGGCAGGGATTGGTGGTGGTAGGATATCTTGGGATTGAGGTGATTAACAACATAGCAATGAAAAGTTGGGGCCTACAACAGCGTTCAATAACAACCTGTGCTTACATGTACAGGGCGACCCTGATTTACAAACCTCCAACTTATGAACACTCATACTTATGAACACCATCTCATGCAGGGGTTTGTGTTTCTTCGCTGTACATGATCTCTTTCCATGTTTCCATGCAGCCGTGGATCGTTCAGTGAGCCTCTGCCTTGCTTCCACCCGTGATGAGCTGATTAAAGTCCTCATTGATGCTCTTGTTGCTTACCGCGCCTCTGCTTGCAGCCCAAAGCAGTCTGCGTTCACCATACCCCGCAGCCTACAACAACTTCCACTGTACGTCCTCGCCCTTTTAAAGCAGGTGAGAGGTCGCAGTCCTTTCAGCCCTTTCTATAGTGGTGGTACAGGTTTTTCACAAAGATTTAATGAAATGGGGATGTTGTAACTGGGCTCTCTCAAAACTCTTCCACCACTGAATTATATCTAAGTTTGCTACTGGGATTTATTGATACTTTCTAATCAACCTGTTCAAAGATATTATATCACACCTCGGAGCAGGTGAGACTTGAATCCGGTCCTCCTGACTCAGAGGTAGGGACAGCACTATAAGAGCCCTGGGAATATACAAGCACATGGGTTTGAAGTTTAAGAGTGAATAATCAAATAATTTGCCCTATGAAGGCAGACACTTCCACTTTCTATGAAACCTATGGGTTTACTTTGACAAGTTAATACACAGTTACTGGTTTACGACGAGAAAAAAGAACAAAAATCAATTTCTGTTCTTTGATTTCAAGCTGGAATACTTATCCATAATCAATAATCTATAACTGTCTGAGGTTTGGTCTCGGGAAGGGTATGAAGGATTAGATTTCACTAATTGAATGAGTTTATTAAACGTATTGTGCAGAGAGATGATCAAGACAGATAGTGCTAAATCAGAAATAAAAATCAAACATGCTGGAGAAACTCAACAGGTCTAGCAACACCTGTGGAGAGACGAACAGAGTTTACAATTCTGAAGAAGAGTCATTTTGAATTTGAAATGTTAACTCTTGTTGCTCTCTCCACAGATGCTGCCAGACCTGTTGAGTTCCACCAATTTCTATTTTAAATTCAGATTTCCAGCATTGCAGTGTTTTGGGTTTATCTGAGAGACAGATAGGAGCAGGATAGTTTTTTTTGGGTTAACAAAGCAAATGAAGATAATGCAATGGATAAAGCACAGTGAGGAACATGCTTTGAAGGTTGGTATGGGCTAACTGGCTGCAGAGGTCTTGTGTACTTTCCTTTGTTCCTTTCATGACTTTTCCACTATTGAACTTTGACCAGCTAGCCTTTCTTTTCCCTCTATCAAGTGAATAATAGAGTCATCTCCATCAAGACTGCCCATAAATCTCTGACCTTGTGTCCATCCTGCCAGATGTACAGTCCCTTTCCCAGGGAATTTATTAGCCTAGGATACCGTAACACACACTGAGAAACTATATCCGGGAAATTATAGCTGTGGAAATAAGTTTGTTTTAGTTTACTTTATAGAATCCCTACATTTGGCCCATCAAGTCCACAACAACCTAGTGAAGAGCATTCCATCCAGACCCACCTCCCTACCCTGTCACTGTAACCCTGCATTTCTCATGACTAACCCACCTAGCTTGCACACCCCTGGACGCTATGGACAATTTAGCATGGCCAATCCACCTAGCCTGCACATCTTTGGACTGTGGGAGGAAACCGGAGCACGCAGACACAGGGAGAATGTGCAAACTCCACACAGACAGCCGTCTGAGGATGGAATTGAATCCAGGTCCCTGGTGCTGTGAGGCAGCAATGCTAACCACTGAGCCACTGCGCTACCCAGTCAACTTTGAAAGTCTTTTCAGACCAGGAAATGTTATTTCTTGATGTTATTTCTTGATGAGGACATTTAATCCCAGTTTTTATCCTTTCCTTTGTTCCTTTAAATCATGCCACCCAATATCGGTTTTGGGGCATTTGGGATAAGGGCCAATGGCGAAGAGAAAGTGGTGTCTCTCCCAACAAAACCAGTAAAAACAATAAAAATTGGAAGTGAAACATAATGGTTGTACTGGAGTTCCAGTCCGAGGTACACAAGACAAGTTGACCATGATGTCTCATTTGTCGGTTTTGTTGGTTTCTCCTTCTGGGTTGGAGACTTTGGGAATTTTTCAGAGCTTGATAGACACGCCAGACATCTGGGGCTCAGTGTGAGGGAAATATAGCCAGATCCCTGACCTGTTACATTCTGTCCCGCAGCCTGCCTTTCAGACTGATGCAGCCATGAGCCTAGACGAGCGGGTTTTCACCATGTTCGAGCTGATGATACAGCCGCTGATTGTCATGTTGAAGATGGTTTACCCTGATCTGTACAGGATTGACGATTACCTTAACTCCGAGCCTGCGGACAATGTGAGAGCCTTGGTCACCGTGTGGTGTGATCAATTCCTGCCCTCTGTTTCATTCAATCAATGCTAAGAAGGGGAGAAAGGGAGAGGCGGAGGTGGTGAGATTAGCTGAGTCCTACTTTCTTTTAAATCTCTTTTCTCCCTCTGACAGGACTCCATGGAGATGGGTAAGGGGACAATGAAGAGACCAGCCTTGATTCAGCTCATGGCTGAGAATCTTGCACTGCAAGGAGCCTTCCTAATCGATTGCGGTAATGTAAGTCTTAAAACAAAGTAAAAACCTGTCTGAAGCCAGAGCAGGTGGACTTGCATTGATATAGACTCCAGTCACATCCCACAGACCACTCAGAACACCTTGACAATATCAATGATGTGCAGAGACAGTTGTTGTGTAGGCACGTGTGGCACACTTGGCCAACAATAAGCCCCAAATCGAAAAGCTTGAGAGGGGAACAGTCCCCTTGGGGGTTTACCCAATTGCCAGTTAGAGTTGCTGACACCTGGGGGAGAAGCTGCCACTCTGAGGGGACTCCCCACTGGGTTAGCATTGGAAGCTACAGGGTGTTCTCTTGCTCTGTTGTGAGCCAATGACACAGCTGTGTCTGAGAATATAATGCTGCCGATATACCTTCACCTGGCAGGGGTAGGCACCCACACTTGTCCCTCTAGACTCTCCACTTCTATCCAGTATCCATGTATCTAAGGTTTGCTGAGGGGTGACCTGGAAAGTCTGCTGATGACCCAGAACACTTCAGACAGTGTGTGGGGAGCTGATTGCAAATATTGCTGGCAACCCCATCCTTTCATATTGTGTAGAGTGTCAGCTACCCAAAGGAATACAGGGACTGAAAACACTGATGGACAACAACAGCACCAAAAATAAGGAAAGGCTTTCATTTAACTAGCACCTTTTGCTCAGGACATCCCAGAACACTTTACAGCCAATGCAACACCGGTGAAACATTGAATCCCTACAGTGGATTTGGCCCATCGAGTCTGCACTGACCCGTTGAAGGACAACCCACTCTATCCCTGTAACCCTGCATGGATAATCTACACATTCCTGCATACTATAGACAATTTAGCATGGCCAGTCCACCTAACCTGCACACCTTTGGACTCTGGAAGAAAACCAGAGCACCCAACGGAAACCCACACAGACACGGGGACAATGTGCAGACTCCACACAAATGAGGGTGGATTCAAATCCGGGATATTTGGTGCTGTGAGATAACAGTACTAAACACTGAGCCATTGTACTGCCCTGAAGTATGGTCCGAAGTACAAACAGCCATATGCTGATGACCAGACGATATGGTTTTTTTCAATGTTGATTTAGGAATGAATACTTTAGTGTCCTGGGGATCAGCCCTCTGCCCCCATTTTACCTTTACGATGTGGGTGTTACTGGTAAAGCCAGCATTTGTTGCCTTTCCCTAATTGCCCTTAAATTGAATGGATTGCTTTGTCATTTCTGAGACCGGTTAAGAATCAACCACATTGCTGTGGGCCTGGAGTCACTTGGAGGCCAGACCAGGTAGGATGGCAGGTTTCCTTCCCTAAAGGACATTAGTGAAGCAGATGGTCATACTAGAATCGAAACGTTAACTCCGTTCCACAGACACTGCCAGACCTGCTGAGTTTCTACGCACTCTCTATATTTCAGATCTTGAGGACTTTGTTTTTGTTTGATTGAAGTGAATGGGTTCTTCCGTCCAATCATGATAGTTGTCATAATCTTGAAGGACCAGCTTTATTAATTGTATTTAACTTCCACTAGCCACTGTGGTGGAATTTGAACCCATATCCCCAAAGCATTAACCTGGGCTTCTAGATTAAAAGAACAGTGACATTACTGCTAGGCTTTATCATTTTTTGTTCATGGGGGTCACTGCCTGGTCTAACATTTATTTCCTATCCCTAACTGCCCTGGAAAAGGATGAGCTTCCTCCTTCAACTGCTGCAGTGCATATGGTGTAGATTTACCAGGATGTTGCTGGGGTTGGAGGGTTTGAGCTATAACGAGAGGCTCAATAGACTGGGGCTATTTTTTCTGAAGCTTCAGAGGCTGACGGGTGACCCTATGGAGGTTTATAAAATCATGAGGGCTGTGGATAAGGTGAATAACCAAGGTCTTTTCCCCAGGGTGGGGGGAGTCCAAAACCAGAGGGTATAGGTTTAAGGTGAGAGGGGAGAGATTTTAAAAGGGACCTGAGGCTTTTTCACGCAGAGGCTGGAATGTGTATGGAATGAGCTGCCAGATGAGGTGGTGGAGGCGACTACAAATACAGCATTCGAGAGGCGCCTGGATGGGTACATGAATAGGAAGTGTTCAGAGGGAAATGGGCCAAATGCTGGCAAATGGGGCAGGATCAGTTTAGGAAATCTGGTCGGCATGGACGAGTCGGACCGAAGGGTCTGTTTCTGTGCTGTACAACTCTATGACTCTGTGAGATACATTCATGGTACTGTTAGGAAGGAAGTTCCAGGATTTTGACCCAGCAGCGCTGAAGGAACGGTGAGATATTACCAAGTCAGGGTGTTGAGTGATTTGGAGAGGAACCTGCAGGTAATGTTGTTTCCATGAGTCAAGTATGCTACAATTTCCCGGAGTTGTCTTCAAAATAGTTCCATGAGGTATGTTATTAGCCTGAGAGGCAGACTTAGCCTCACCTTAATCTTTCTCTGAAGGGCAATGCCTCCAACAGTGCAGGCCCTCCGTCTTCCTCTGTACTGCACCGGAATGTCAGTCTGCATTACGTGGACTGAGGACCTGAAACTCAGACTTCACGTCCAGAAGAGAAAATGCAATCCAGTGAGTGATGGGTGGGACTAGATTACCAATAAATGTGGAACTCTGATTTTCTGAATAAGGGGCTGATTATTTAGGACTGGGATGTGGAGAAATTTACTTATTTAAGGAGTCAGGAATTGATGTAATTCTCTGCCTTAGATAGTTGTAGGTGCTCCATCGTTGATAAAGTTTGAGAGAGATAGATGTTTAGCTTCTTGGAATGAGGGACAGGCAGGAGATTGAGGTTAAAGCCCAAAATTAGAAATGTAAGGTGATGTACTTTGGTCAGAAGAACATTGGGTAAAGGGTAAAGGATAAAAACAAAGGGTGGAATTCTAAAGGGGGTGCAGGAGCAGAGAGGCCTGGATATAGATGTGCATAGATCATTGAAGATAGCAGGACAGGTGGAAACATCAACTAATAAAGAATACAGTGTTCTCAGCTTCATTAATAGGGGTATGGAGTACAAGAGCAGGGAGGTGATGTTGATCTTGTACAAGACACTTGTTAGACCTCAGTTGGGGTATTGTGGGTGCAACTTAAGAGGAATGATGTGAATGTATTTGAGACAGTGCAGAAGTGATTTACAAGAATGGTTCCAGGAATGAGAAACTTCAGTTATCACGATTGGCTGAAGAAAATGGGACTGTTCTGCTTGAAGAGCAGAAGGCTGAGAGGAGATCTGATTTGGGATTTTCAAAATTCTGAGCGAGCTGGAAAGTGCAGATAAGGAGAAGCTGTTCCTGCCTGGAAAAGAAACAAGTGAGAGGGCACGGATTTAAAATGATGTGCAGATGAAGCAAGAGTGATATGAGAAACGTCTTTCACACTGCAAGTAGTTAGGGTCCTTCTGCATTGTGATTCAGTAATTATCCCTGATTATATTGAATAGCAAAGCTTGATGGACCGCATGGTCTACTCCTGTTCCCATCTCTTCTGCTCTTATTTACAAGATCCAGCTGGGTGCTGTAGTGATTGGATCACCTCAGTGTTCTGTGTTCTGCTCTCTCCAGGTTCTGTACATCTGGGTCAGCAGACACTGCAGTTCCAGCTTCCTGGATGGTGTGCTGGGTGTTACCAACTACACCTCACTCCCAGGGACACTGGTAAGTCTGTCACCCCTCACTGTGTCCAAGTTGCATTTTCAGCAAGGCTGTATCGCACTTAAACTGTCATTCACAGTTCTGGTCTCTTATTGCAGAAACTACATAGCAGGATTGGAGAAAGTGCAATGGAGGTTTCCCAGAATAAAAAGAGAACTGAGAGATTGTAACTATTTGGGGGAATAGAGTTTTCTCCAGGACAGGCAAGGCTGAGAGGGTGACCCAGTTGATCTTACATACAAGGATACATACCAATGGTTAACCTAAGAGCAGGAGGAGGCTGTTCTGCCCCTCAAGCCAACTCTCTTGTTCAGTAAGGTCATGGCTGAGTTGATTACTCCACATTCCTGTTCACTGTTGATAACCTGTCATCCCTCTTACTTAGCAAGAATTTACCTGCCTCTGCCTTAAAAATGTGCAAAGACTTTCCTTTCATTGCCTTTTGAGGAAGAGTTCAAAAAACTCACAACTCTTAGAGATGAAACTTTTCTCCTCATCTCTGTCTAAAGTTTTTTAGTAGCAACCCCTAGTTCTAGACTCCCCCACAAGAGGAAACATCCACTCCACATCAACCTTGTTGAGACCCTTCGTGATCTTTGCATACTTCAATCAAGACACCTCTTATTTTTCTAAACTTCAGCAGTTACAAGGCCTAGTTTGTCCAACCTAAATCATAAGACAACCTGCCTATTTCTGGTATTAGTCTGGTAAACCTTCTCTGATCTGCTTCTGTTGCATTTACATCCTTCCTTTGAATAAAGGATCCAACACTGTACGTAATACTCCAGGTGCAGCCTCACCAGTGTTCTGTATAACAAAAGCAGAAGCACCATATTTTTGTATTCAATTCCTCTGGCTATAAGTAGTAACATCCTGTTAACTTCCTTAATTAATTTCTATGCCTGTGCACTAACCCTTTGCAATTCATGTCTTTAATATTGTGATGGTGGTTCAATAGAATCATAGAATCCCTACAGTGTGGGAGCAGGTCATTCGGCCCATTGAGTCCACACTAACCCTCGGAGGGTCATCCCAGCCAGACCCACTTCCCAACCCTATTACTATAACCCTGCATTTCCCATGGCTAACCCACCTAGTCTGCATATCCCTGGACACTTTGGTCAATTTAGCATGGCCAATCCACCTAATCTGCACATCTTTGGACTGTGGGAGGAAACCAGAGCACCCAGAGGAAACTCACAAAGACACAGGAAGGATGTGCAAACTCCACACAGACAGTCGCCCGATTCTAGAATCGAACCGTAGTCCCTGATACCATGAGGCAGCAGTGCTAACCACTGAGCCACCATGCTGCCAACAGGGTAGGTATGGAAAATACAGTTCCATGTACAGAAGGATCCAAAAGTAGGTACCATAAATATAAAATAGTCACTAATAAATCCAATGGGATTTCAGCCTAAACTTTCTGGAGTGTGGTTAGAGTCTGCAACTCATTAGCACAGTTGAGGTGAATATTAAGAGGCATTTAAGAGGAAGCTAGTTAAGTGCTCTTTCCATCCTTTAATATCTTTCTTAAATTTTGTGACTTTCTCGGCTTGGCAGCTGCATGTGGTAATTTATTCCACATCTGAATATGAAATAAAGATTCAAGCCTCCTCCTATCATGCTTTTCTTAGAATCATAGAGATCCACAGCTCAGAGAAAGGCCTTTCGGCACATTGTATCTGCATTGTCAAAAAGAAAACACCTAATTATTCTAATCCCGATCTAGATTTACATTCCCAAATACAAATCTGTACAAATAACATAATGTGAACTACTTGGGGTACAGTGACAGTATTTTAGAGACAATCATGCAAGCAATTAGCTTTGATCTTACCAGTCTGCAATAGATGAATATAAGATAATGAATTTCTATTTATGGAAGTGTGTGTAATTTATTTTATAAAAAACGTTTGCTGCAATCTGATGCCTGTTGTGTCAAGGAAATTAATGCTTTCCTTATGTGCATGGCTTTAGGTTTAATGGAGGGTTGGGTTTAGAGGGATATGGGCCAAACGCAGGCAAATGGGATTAGTTTAGTTGTCTGTTTTCATGTTATATGACTCCATAAATAATCTTTCTCTATTTACTGTCTCCAAACATTTCAAAATTTGAACACTTTTGCTAGTGAGTACAGTTTCTATTTCTTATACCTCATGCTCTCCCCTCATCCCTGGGGTTTCCTCCAGTTTACAACAGACTGCAGGCCCTCCATGGCTTCAATATAATGGAACACCCATTATTCCAGATGGAACCCAAACTTCTTAAATATATTCATTCACAGGACATGGGCATTGCTTGCTAGACCAGTATTTATTTCCCATCCTTAACTGCCCAGTTAAGAGTCGACCTCATCACTGCAGGTCTTCTTTTGTTCTCGCTCGCTCTTCTTTCACCCCAGCTTCTATTTTATTTCACTCTGCGTTGTGTAACATTACGGTTTTTCAGTCTATCAGTAGTCCTTGGAGCTGTCTTTGCCAGGTGAGAGTTTGGAACACAATTTAGAGAAGCAGATCAAAGGAAATCTCTCACGACGTTTGCATGTATGACAAATGCTGCAAAATCCTGAGCAAGAGTAAGTGTCAATATTTGCTGTGTTTCAGACCTCACTTCCCATTCTGCAGAATCCTGCTTCTAAACTCATCCAGGCATTCCTGGGATCCTTAAGGAAGGAGAGACTTTATCACGCACCTTGCTTTGTCATCAAGTGAGTGCAAAATTTCATAGAATCTCATTTAAGTGCGTTTGAAAAATTTTTGGCTACACATTTTTCAGACTGTCATTTGATCTTCAGTTTACATGAGAGGTGGTCCTTAGTGAAATTATCTTCGAGCACGGAAAACTCTGTTCAAATGTCAGTCATTTTCCAGTTCCCCTCACTGCTGCTCCCCCATCCTCGCCAAATTTGGTTTGATTTGATCATGTTTTTCAATGTTGGTTCAGGAATAAATATTGGTTAGCATACTGGAGGATAACTCCCCTGTCCTTATTTTCCCTTTACTCATTTATAGGATGTGGGTGTTGCTGGTTAGGCCATTTATCACCCCTCCCTAATTATCTTCAAACTGGGTGGCTCTTTCATTGTTCTGTAAATACCCACAAGATACAATTGCTCTCGCAGCCCAGTTTTAGCCACGTTGTGGTGGGTCTGCGGTCACACGTAGGCCAGATCAGGTAAAAAGGTCAGATTTGCTTCCCTAAAAGGTGCTTAGTATATCAGATGGGTACTTACAACAATTAATAATGGTTACATGATTTCCATTAGGCTAACTTCTTTTAATTCCAAACTTCATTATCTGCCATGGTGGGATTTGAATCCACATCTCCAGGTTCTATAGATTAAATAGACCAGTGACATCAACACTACACCACCTCCTCATAGCACCTTGTGAGCTTTGGTGCTGTCGATTCTGTCTAAATATAAGAAATGCTGGGATTATACTCCCTAGGGAAGGCTATGTCAAGATGTGATAGAGCAGTGGTTAGCAATGCTGCCTCACAGCACCAGGGACCTGGGTACAATTCCACCCTTAGGCAACTGTCTGCATGGAGTTTGCACGTTCTCTCTGTGTCTATGTGGGTTTCCGCCAGGTGCCCCGGTTTCATCCCACAGTCTAAAGACGTGCAGGTTAGGTGGATTGGCCATGCTAAATTGCCCACAGTGTCCAGGGACATGGAGGTTATGTGCATTAGTCATCGGAAATGCAGGGTTACAGAGATACGGTAGGGGGATGGGTCTGGGTGGGATGCTCTTCAGAGGGTCAGTGTGGACCTGTTGGGCTGAGTGGCCTGAATTCTATGGAGGTTTTCAAAATCATGTGGGTCTTTCACAGTGTAATGAACTGGAAGGTTGAGTAACTAGAGGATGCAGGTTTAAGATAATTAGCAAAAGAGAGAAGATGGAAGAAATTTTTTTTTAAATGCAGTGAGTTATGCAATGCATGAAAGGGCAATAACAGTACATCCAGCAGAAACTTTCAAAAGAGATGTGATAAACATTTGAAAAGTAAAAAAAAATCCAGGGCAATGGGAAAAGAGTGGAGCCATGGTACAAAATGGATAATCGTGCTAAGGAGCAGGTACAGGCACAATCGTCTCAGTGACAGTAACTTCTACCATTTACATAGTGCCTTTAACATTGGAAAATATCACAAGGTGGAGTATTACTAAATGATGTTTGCCACTTCTGGGGCTACAAGAACAATCGTATCTTCTGCCTTGGTTGGTTCTGTTGATCTCTGTACTTTTCTTTTCTAGGGATGACAGTACCTCACGGTCTGTGTTCATTAAGCGTCTGGTTAATGATCGCACTGAGACAGCAATGTCATATTATGAGTTTCTGCTCCATCTGAAGGAACGGGTGTGTGGGTGATGTGCTTTCCCCTAGCCCCCACCAAACGGAACAATCCAAAGAGGACTCGTGGAAAGTGCTCCCTCAAGCAGCATTGGTCCTTACAAAAAACTGATGTACTCCTTCACCTATTCTGTTGGAATTGCAATATTACTCTATCCAGAGAAGTAAAGAAATAAAATGCTGGAAATGTACGCACAAGAAATCCCTTAGTTTCTGTTCATTGGAAAGACAAATTAGCCCCTCATCCAAACTGCAAGCTAGTGAACCCTATCAATGGGATAGAACAAAAGTGAAGGAAGGTGAGGAGAACAATAATCATGTCAAGTGTGAAATCTCCAAGCCCATCACCTCCTCAGTAACAGAATGTGTCTTGTTTTCATTGTGTCCAAAGAAATTGCTGGAAAGTTAGAATGAGTTGAAACCTGCACAATGTGCTTATAGCTGCTTCTCTGGAAACTGCACTGCTGTGAGTGTTTGGGATTGAGTTTATACACGTTCTGTATTTACATAGCTCTCCTCCACCTCGCTGCACTTTCCTCAAGAAATAATTCTTTAAGCAGCATGTTCTGCTGTAGTTTCAGCCATGATTTCTGTTTAAGTAGATTCTTTGACTGAAGTATGTCGAGGATCAATTTGATTAGATGTTCTTTACTCTTTCCTGTCAAATTGACGCTTTGCTGTTTGACTAAAGCAGATTCTGTCTGCAGCAAATAGTGTAAATAAGAACATAAGAACTAGGAGCAGGAGTAGGCCATCCGACCCTTCGAGCCTGCTCCACCATTCAATAAGATCATGGCTGATCTTTTCGTGGACTCGGATCCACTTACCCGCGTTCTCACCGTATCCCTTAATTCCTTTATTGTTCAAAAAAAATCTACCTTATCTTTAAAAACGTTTACTGAAGTAGCGTCGACTACTTCATTGGGCAAGGAATTCCATAGATTAACAACCCTCTGGGTGAAGAAGTTCCTTCTCAATTCAGTCCTAAATCTGCTCCCTCTAATCTCGAGGCTATGCCCTCTTGTCCTAGCTTCACCTGTCAGTGGAAACATCCTCTCTACTTCTACCTTATCTATTCCCTTCATAATTTTATATGTTTATATAAGATCCCCCCTCAATCTTCTGAATTCCAATGAATATAATCCCAATCTACTCAGTCTCTCCTCATATGTCAACCCCCTCAACTCCGGAATCAACAGCCTCCATCTCATAGTAGTCAGTACACTCTTGTCTAGTCCAGTGCTTCCCAAACTTTTTCCCACTATAATCCCATTTTAAAGCTTGAACTTTGTTGAGACCCCCTGGTGAAATCTGAGACTTTGGGAGAGTGGGGTGGAGTAAGCAGTGTGGGTGGGTGAGTGGGCGAAGGTGATGGATGTTCGTGATGAGGAGAGGGGTGTTGTGAGAGTTTGGGTTGGGGGTTTCAGGGAGGAGGGCCCAGTAGCATGTGTGAGCAGGAGCTTAGCTGGTCATAACTCAGCGGGTGCTCCTCAAGACTCACCATCCCAAAGTCCTAACTGGGTGACCCATCCCTACTTTGGGAAAGTCTGAGGCTCCCTCTGATTGTGTTTTCTCCTGTGCTGACCTCTGTGAGCCATATGCAGTATGGATTTCTGAAACTGCAAGTCAGTGCTGGGAATGGCATCAGCCACTGGATCCTCTGAGCTACGGGGCAGGAATGTTGTACCAGCGTATATCTTACTAAATCCGCTGCTCCTGTACATTCCGATGTTTCTACAGACAGTACTGGGTGGCTCAGTGTAGGAAGGAGATTGAAGCCTGCACAGTCCAACACCAGTGTTTACCTGCCTGAACAGTACCAAGTCAAGCTGAATGGCCTGCTCCTGTTGTAAATTCTCTGTAAAATCAGAATAGGAAGCTGCCAGATATTGAACACACCATGCAGGCCCACAATGAGGGGAGTACTGTGCGAAAACTGCCCGATAGGTAGAGTGCTCTTGTGGTGCAGTGGTAGTATTCCTACCTCTGAGCAGGGAGGCTGGGCTCAAGCCCCACCTGCTCTAGAGGTGTGTAATACCATCTCTAAACATGCTGGTTAGAAAGTATCTCCGGCCTGACTTATTCAGAGCAAGTTGGGGCCTCCGGGGTTGGAGTGCATTATTTCCATCCTCCAACTCCATTTTAATTTAGTTACCTCTGTCATATTGTTACACTGTTCCTGGTGGGTAGAGCTTGATGGTTATTCTTTTAATTTGTAACATGAATGGTTCGATGGCGGAAAAAATATCCGCCCCCATTTAGGAGGGTTCTTGTGTCGCTGTAGTAGTGTACCTACCTCTGAGCCAGGGGATTCAAGTCCCCTACTCCAGACGTGTGTAATATGATGTCTAAACTGGTTCATGTAGAAAGTATCTAACAATATGTATCTGCCCTACAGATATCAAGTTGAGGTCCTGTCTGTTCTTTTGTTTATTCGTGGGCATCAGTGACTTGCCATTCCTAGTTGCCCTTTGAGAAGGTGGTAGGGAGCTGCTTTTTTGAACTGCTCCATACCATGTATTGTAGGTTGACACACAATGCCATTAGGGACGGAATTCCAGGATTTTGACCCAGCGACACTGGAGGAACTGTGACATATTTCCAAGTCGGGATGGTAAGTGGCTTGGAGGGGAACTTGCAGGGGGCGGTGTTCCCATGTATCTGCTGCTCTTGTCCTTCTAGATGGAAGTGGGTTTGGAAGGTGCTGTCTAAGGATCTTTGGCGAATTTCTGCAGTGCATCTTGTAGATGGTACATACTGCTGCTACTGAGCATCGGTGGTGGAGGAAATGGATGTTTGTGGACGTGGTGCCAGTCAAGCGGGCTGCTTTATCCTGGATGGTGTCAAGCTTCTTGAGTATTGTTGGGGCTACACTCATCCAGGCAAGTGGGGAGTATTCCATCACACTCCTGACTTGTGCCTTGGAGATGATGGACAGGCTTAGGTGAATTGGATATGTTTCTTGCTGCAATATTTCTAGCCTCTGATCTGCTCTAGTAGTCACTGTGTTTATGTAGTGAGTCCAGCTGAGTTTCTGGTCAGTGATAACCACAAGGATGTTGATAATGGGAAATTCAGTGATGGTAGCACCTTTGAATGCCAAGGAGCAGTGGCTAGATTGACCATCGCCAATAAGAAACATTGCTTGGCATTTGTGTATTACTTGCCACTTCTCAGCCCAAGCCTGAATATTATCTAGATCTCGTTGCATTTGAACATGGACTTCTTCAGTATCTGAGGAGTGGTGAACGGTACTGAACATTGTGCAATCATTAGCAAACATTCACATTTCTGACCTTGTGATGGTCATAGAGTCATAGAGTTGTACAGCACTGAAACAGACCCTTCGGTCCAACTCGTCCATGCCAACCAGATATCCTAAATTAGTGTGGTCCCATTTGCCAGCATTTGGCCCATATCCCTCTAAACCCTTCCTATTCGTATACCCATCCAGATGTCTTTTAAATGCTGTAATTGTACCAGTCTCCACCACATCCTCTGGCAGCTCATTCCATACACGCACCACCCTATGCATGAAAATGTTGCCCTCTGGTCCCTTTTAAATCTTTTCCCTTTTATCTTAAACCTATGCCCTCTAGTTTTAGACTCCGCAATTCCAGAGCAAAGACCTTGGCTATTCACCCTATCCATGCCCCTCAGGATTTTACAAAGCTCTATAAAGTCACACCTGAACCTCCGACGCTCCAGTGAAAATAACTCCAGCCTACTCAGCCTCTCCCTTTAGCTCAAACCTTCCAACCTTGGCAACATCCTTGTAAATCTTTTCTGAACCCTTGCAAATTTCACAACATCCTTCCTATAGCACGGAGAGTGGAATTTCATGCAGTATTCCAAAAGCCGCCTACGAATATCCTGTACAGTCCCAACATGATCTCCCAACTCCTATACTCGATGCACTGACCAATAAAGGCAAGCATATCAAATGCCTGCTTTGCTATCCTATCTACCTGGGACTCCACTTTCAAGGAACTATGAAACAGCTCAAGATAGTTGGCCTGAGGATACAGCCCTGAGTAGCTCCTTCAGAGATGTCCTGGAGCTGAGATGACTAACCTCCAACAATGACAACCACCTTCCTATGTGCCAAGTTTGACTCCAACCAGTGGAGAGTTTGCTGCCTGATGCCCATTGATTCCAGTTTTACTCGGGCTCCTTGATGCCACGCTCAGTTGAATGCAGCCTTGATGTCAAGGACTGCCACTCACACCTCACCTCTGGAATTCAGTTCTTTTGTCCATGTTTGAACCAAGAAGGCACAACAACGCCTCTTCTTCCTCAGGCGGCTCGGGAACTTTGGCATATAAAGACCCTTCACCAACTTTTATGGATGCACAATTGGAAACATACTGTGCAGGTGCATAATGGCCTGGTTTGGTAACTGTTCTGCCCAGGACCGTAAGAAACTACAGATGGTTGTTGACACAGCCCAGACCATCACAGAAGCCAACCTTCCATCCATGGACTCCATTTACACGGCTCGCTGCTGCAGAAAGGCTACCAACATCATAAAGACCATCACACTCTGGTAATGTTCTCCTACAACCTCTCTGTCAGGCAGAAGATACAGAAGCTTGAACACACACTTGAGCAGGTTCAGGAACAGCTTCTTCCTGGCCTTTGTTAGATTGATGAATGGACTCTCTAACTTTAAATAGTGCTGATCTTGCCTAGCACATGCCTGTGCAACGTAACCTGCATGCTTCTGTCTGTTTTCTTTTTCACCTTGTGTCCTGCCTGTACCACTTGTAAACAAAACTTTTCACTGTACTTAGATACACGTGACAATAAATAAGTCAATCAATCAGGCTGTAATGAGGTCAGGAGCTGACCCTGGCAGCACCCAAACTGAGTATGTGCTGCTTGATTGCACTGTTGATAATGCCTTCCATTACTTTACTGATGGGGCAGTAAATGGCTGGATTGGATTTGTCCTGCTTTCTGTGTATGTAACATGCCTGGGCAATTTTCCACATTGTCAGATAGATGCTAGTGTTGTAACTGTACTGGAACAGCTTTGCTAGGTGAGCAGCAAATCGTGGAGCACAAGTCTTCTGTAGTATTGCCAGAATG